CGACTTCAAATGGCGAACACGTATTTAGCTCACTCTATTAGAATCGTCATTTATTATATGACTCACGTAAAGTGGGGGTGTACCCACCAAAAACCCGATATTAGAATGTCACTTATTATATGACTGATGGAAAGAGCACTCTCTCAAGATGGACATCATAAAATGCACTATAGCGTACACGAACCCATCATACATCTTCAGTTCTAACTAATATAAAATATTTTAGCTATGCAAAGAAAAAACATGATCGCGCTAATTAACGTCTTATATAAATCGTAAGTTATGCAACTTGAATATCTATTAATTTATATAGCGATTTTTTTTAATTGCCTATGAATTGAAAAATCACTTAAACGCTAATCGTTCGTGACTTACGGGGTATTATAAAAAGCGTGCGAGGGCGATCACGTGCGAGCTCTCCATCACTGTGCCGCCGCGCTAATGTCGCTTCGTCTTCGCTGCGTCTACACTGCGTAGCCTCTACGGCAATGGAATCACTACACTACCACTTACGGCTAATAAACAGTCTCAGTAGGGGGAAGGGATTGTGTATATATTTTGTCAGATTGACTTCCCCTATGATTTCCCCTAGAGACCATTGTGGTTAATTTCTACTGAATTATTCAAGATGTCTCCACTGGTTTGATTGTCTTCCTATCTATCTTCTCTTACGGGCATGAAAGTCGGATTCTTTTAATCTTTTAGAATAGAATAGAAATCATTTATTCAAATAAACTTACATTGAAGCACTTTTGAAAAGTCATTACATTTTTTTTTAATTTACCGCTCGTTCGGAAAGCTGTCTCATCACAAGAAGAACGAGCAAGAAACTTGCGTGATGCTCTTTTAAATAATTTTATTATTATTTTACATTTTTAAGTTTAATTGTGTGAATACAAACCACCAATTACCACTAATTCAATTAAATACTCAAAAAGAAAAAAAATTGAATACATAACCAACTGTTAAACAATTAATAAAGGAAATCAGTCACAGACCAGTCCCTACAAGCAGCACCCGTTCACGAGTATGACGGATGAGCCAGCCATCACTGCGCTCGACCATATTTTAGGGAGCCCAATGACCCGGCCCACCACGCCGCCACAAGTCTGGACATTTTAGTGAGCATGACTACTCAAAACACTAGACCACGTCAAAGCTACTCACAATTGCCATCTGATAGTTATAGTATTCACATTTTACATAAGAATGCATGCGGCAATTAATACAAAAAACCGCTACGCTTTCATATTTCTAAAATTAATCAATTAAATCAAGAAAGCAATGAGAAAATAAAATTATAACGTTGTATGCTAATAAACTAATTATTTACTTGATATGTTGTCATCTATGAATTCGTCTATCCTGTAATAGGCTTTCTTACATAAAAATTGTTTAATATAAGATTTGAATTGCCTCTCTGTCTGATTTAATGCAGATTCCGGCAGTTTATTATAAAATCTTATGCAATTACCATAGAATGAATTACTGATTTTGTGCAGACGGCATTTAGGTAAAATAAGCTTATTTATATTGCGTAAGTTTCTACTTGTACAGTCTTTGAGTTTTTTAAAACTCGCTAAGTTCTTCCGTGTATACATAATATTTTCATAAATGTATTGTGAAGTAACTGTGAGGATATTTGAGTCTTTAAAGCACTGACGTAATGACTCTCTTGAACCCATACCATAAATAGAACGTATGGCTCTCTTTTGTAAAACAAATATAGTATTTATATCGGCTTCTTTACCCCACAGCAGTATGCCATAAGACATTATGCTATGGAAATAACTAAAATATACAAGTTTAGCCGTCGCCACGTCTGTTAATTGCCTAATTCTTCTAATTGCATATGCAGCAGAACTGAGTCTACTGGAATTTTGAATTATGGGGCCCCCATTGTAATTTCGAGTCTACTGTTATACCTAAAAAAACTGTATCATTAACAAAATATTTCGTCATTAAGCAATAACTCTTACATTAGGAAGTGTAAATTTTATACACTTTGTTTTGCTGGAATTTAATAATAGGTTATTACATGTAAAAATTTAATATGCAGACATAGCACAATTTACATCGTCTAATTGATTACTTTGACGTCAACAATGTTCCTGCAAACAGCACTATATCTCTTTTATGACATTTATGTAGATTAAAAAGAGCGCTCCTGTGTTTTCGTCAATTCTTTTTATTTTAAGTTCTCATTAATTTTGATCATTATCTTTTCCACGTACAAAAGCGATTACCTACATTAAAATCATGGAGCATGTGAGGTTTCGCTATGATTAATGGTCATTTGGGACTGGCACTGGCAAAATAATACAACCCTGATTTAAATTGTTTATTCTAATGTCGGCTAGATATGGAGCAACAATATCTAGAAAGACTACTTTTACGCATGCCCCAAAGGTCTTCCGTATTTTTTAAATTTAGCTGTTTGAATATTTTTATGATATGAGAACGGCTAACATGTGGAACGATATTAGTCTCTAGTAATTTTTTTGCTCGAGATTGAGATGACGTAATATTGTTATCCTTCATGGTGTTATTAATTTATTATCATAATTTAATGAATGCGATCCCGTTTCTTTATTTATAATGCTCCAGATGGTTTTAATTTTGTCAGAAGACTGCTTAATTTGTTTATTAAAATAATTACGAAATAACGAATAATTTTTTAATAGTTGTTCTGATGTCTTTACTATGCTATATTATGTTAAAGAAAAATTTTAATAGGGTTGGCTAAAGATAATCGATATCTGTGACGAAATCCAATTTATTTTTACGTATTTATTAATATTGTAAACGATAATGATCGATGATAAATAATGTAACACATGAAAAATTAAAAGTCATCACATGCAAGCTCGGTATTATAAAAAGCTAACGTCATCCGAGCGGGCTTTGACAGTGACTTCACGTATCTTGTTTCCAGCATCCGTTCTAAAAAAAATGTAAAAACAGTGCCTCAAAATTTCATCTCTTTTATTCTCGTATTCTTTTTAGTATAGACAAAAGTTGATGTATTTATACTATCCATAATTACTTGGAAGAAAAATTCAGTTTCAATAATAGAATATTATATTTAATATGTTTTAATCTGTGACGATGTTACGGTTTCTTTCAAAAATGACGGTATTAATCAAAAGTTGATGTATTTATACTATCCATAAATTTCACAATAATAGTATTCTTTTATGTTTTAATAGTTAATCGCTTTTTAGTAAATAGAAGCTACAAGATCAATCGCTGTTATCAAGCTAGGTAGGTGTTATAAGAATCCAAATAACGAATATCTGGATGTACAATCCAAAACAACACGAACTAACTGAGAAAAGTTCATTTTCTGAATTCCGATCAAGAGTCGAACGAAGAATCTTATTTCTGTAAAGTAACCTTTTATCCTTAAATTTAACAGATACCATTTACCTGTACTGCATTCATATCAACAACTGGCAAAACTTTTGTCTTAGGGGAGAAGATGTCCAGCAGTGGACAGTGGACAGCTAATATTAATGAATGAATTTACCTGTAACGGCGTCGCGTTAATTTCAAACATTTAATTAAATGAAATACTGCTGTATTCGTCTTTATTGTAAACGTACATTCCGTCCCAATAAATACAGATCACACCAAGTTTCGCGTTCTGTGACATGTCCATAAACGGCGTCGATTCCACCGCGTCAGCTACCACGTCCCTTAGTTTCGGTTGCAATTTCTGCAGTTTCCATTTGGAAGGGCACACAATACATATATCAATCGGAGACCATCAATAAACTTCCGCCGTTCGAGTTTTCCCATACAAAGTACTCACCAGTCGTCAGCGCGTATCGCTCCGCGCGTGACAGTTACGCGTTCAGATATCACATGAAATATCAGCCAGCCCACATTCGAACTAAGTTTCAAAGTCGCACGGGTACGTATGTAGTATGTATTAAAGCTGCCATCCTCGATACGAACTTCTGAAAGGGCGATACATGCTCGCTGACGTGAGGTCTGCGGTCCCGATCGCCGCACGATACGCCTGTCACTGACAAATATTTTTATTCCGCGCCATTGTTTGTGGCCCGTGCATTTTTCGGTCATCGTTTTTGGGCGTACGCCAATACGCTTTTAAGCTTAATCAAACAGAATGTTTGCGTTTTTATTTGTACGGGGATCACTAAAAATGGAATTCGTATCATAAAACAGTTTTTATTTAAATAATTCTGGAATATACTTATGGCTCTAACAATAATAAAAGGATAAAAAGGATTTGTTCCCAACCATTATTGTAACTAAAATTGGTATTTTGGGGCTTTAATCAGAAGAAATCACAGGGAACGCAAATTAAAATTTGGCCTTTCTCAGAACGTCACCTGTCTGGCCGACTTACATCTATCTAGAGTAAGCGATATCTTCGCTTATTTGTACTCAATACATTTCTTTCATACTTCTTCTTTCATTCATTCTCTCCCAATAACCAAACCAATGCAACATTCCATTTTCAACATCTTTAATATATAAATATCATACTAGTCTACTTAGGACCAAAGATATATCCTAGTCGAAATATTGAATTAAGTCAGGTAAATTCTCATAGTTTACCTAAATAATTGCATCAATTCCCAACACTTACAAACAATAAACAAGGCAACGCGACAGTCTAAAAGTTAATAAACATCATATTGTTTCCAAAAACATATATATATATATATATATATATATTTAATGGATAATAATGCAATGGTAACCCCGCCTGCACTATCAGAATACACTGGCGGAGCACCAGTGAGAGATGATAGGTGAGGATAAAAAGGTAGGTCAGTTAGCCTATTGTGACGAATTTAACGATAAATAAGTCACGATGGTTTCCAGGGGGAACTGCATGGAGATCGACCTGATGGGGTATATTGATAGCAATGGGGACTACCCCCCCCCTTTACTGACAATCCCTACCCCCTCAATAACATATTAGGACATGGTGGAAAATTATATTAATGTAACAATTATCTTTCCAGCTTCGACGTCCGCGGCAAGCACCTCTCCGAGGCACGGCACTGGTCAGCGCCGGAGGTGTTCGGTCCCCGCGCACACTTCGCCACCTCGCCGCCGCCCGCGGCCCTCCTGGTGCGTGACGTCAAGCGGCGCGACGAAGGCGTCTACCGCTGCCGGGTCGACTTCAGGAACACCCAGACGACCAGCTTCAGATATAACCTCACTGTTGTTGGTGAGTACACCTTCACTACAAACAACGACCTTTTAAATTTTGTCCGTAATATTTTTGATCGCTTCAATCCGTCTGCCAAATGCGACAACTACTGGAAAAACCCCCCAAGGGAGAGGCTTATTATTAGAGTGAAATTTTTATGTATATGATTGAACTGGATTCTATAAAGGATGAAGCACTTCAGTGCCAATAACTATGACTTGCAACGAGGTATAAAAGTAACCATTCTAGTTTTAAGACAAAAAATGCAGTTAAATAGCAAAAATCGTGTATATTCGTAGTGTAGACGGCATACGGTATATTCATTAAAGGGAAAAAGACAATTGAAGAGTTTCGTAACAAATGAAAGGGAAAAACGCCTTTGCTGAAAACGTTGAAAGGAAGTTACAATTCTTGGAACTATCTATAATCGATAATAGAAGCAGGTGGCAAAGAAAACGAAATTCTAAGTAAAAAAACATAAACACGGAAATAAATAACACTACCAACATATTTAATTATGTTGGTAATGTAGATTATTTCTATTTAAAAACACATAACAAGGGAGTAAAAGACAAATAATGACAAATGTGTTGACTTTACTGATAGACGTCTGTTGTACTGTTCAGGATATTTTTAAAATACTTTGTATCTGATAAAAACATCAGAAGCTTTTATATAGCGAGCCTATTATTAATGCGTCTGCCATACAAAGGTGCGTATTAATGATACGTTTGTGATATAAGGGCAACACCTCCCCTGTCACCATTTAAAAAAATCGCTCTGTCACAGTCATGACAAACATTTTGTTTATCAGTGAAATTGTTGTCGACGGGACAAAACCCATTTATTAGAACGCTTAAATTACCCTTGTTCAGCGTATGTTCTGAGGAATATTCACGCGTCCGCGATTACCCGTCTACATATGACAAAACACTCCATCAATCAAGACGCCCTTATCAATTATTCAAATCTTGGTGTGTAGTTCACGCTCATACCTATTCATAAACGCCCACACCGGTTAATTGTTTGCTTTGGAGCAGTTCGGATCGCGCAGGCTGGCTGCGGTATTGTTCGGCAGCCTGCCAGTCAGATATACGGCCGACGGGATGCTACGTTAGTGCCTAAGGATATACGCGCCAGCTCACACGATAGACTTATGGTTCTGCATTATTGCCGACGTGTCGGTTCGTTAACTCGCCTGATGTATGCGCACTGTACCTGCTCTGTGTTTAGGTGTTTTGTAACAGGCACTCTAATAGCTCTACTGCTTTTATTCTCTTTACCGTGCGAGCTTCTATTTGTCTATTTGTTAATGCAATAGGAATAAATAGAACACAATATCGCCTTGCATACAACTGTCTAGTAGATAAATCGTATTCTTTCTAATTGAAAAAGAATGTAAGTAGAAGGATTGCTTTTATGTATTTTATTCATTTAAAACAAAGCTATTACTTGCAATGTAATAAACGTTATACGATACCAACAATAGAAAACAGGGAAGTTATCTGGCTACAATTTATAATTATTACTCGTATCTTTATTAAGGTAAATCATTTTGGATTAAACTGTTATTTGCAAGTCATATTCGTGCAGTGGAACGCTCGCGGGCGTTTTATGTATCCATTTATTATTATGTATTTATGTATCCAGTTCAAATTGATTGACACCTTTAAATTGACGTGGATTTTTTAATTTATATAAACATTATAAAAATTAAATGTATATTTTAACCTTATCTGTTAGTTAAGAAGTCATAAGTAAAGAAAATACATTATCAGTTTTCATTTCATACTACTTTGAATTGAGTTCTAGAAACATAGTTGTTACTTTGTTTCAGATCTTTTAAATTATCTCGCATAATAACGTACTTAAGCTTTAAAGCACAGTATACAGAATAACAGAGTCGTTGAGTTTTTTAATCGTCGGCGTGTGTGTACACCCTTCAGCAGCTATTTAAATTTAGCCTAACATTTACCCCGTTGTTTATGATTGACGTAGTGCGTCTTTCTCTTCTATTGATCCCTATCAGCTGTCATACCTGGGTTCACTCCTCTTTTGTGCATATCATCTTTCACATAGTCCATACATATTTTCTTTGAACGACCCTACCCACATCCTTTACATCCACCCACGCTCTCATTTCAACACTATCGATCCCAATTTCAGTAAACATAGAACTCTCTCCAACTGAATACCTCTGTACCGTACCGTACTACTAAATACAAAAAAAAATTTGGCAAAAATATAAAGTCGATCAATCAATTACAAGATACAATGGGCCCCACACTAGGCGAACTTGTATCGTGGGTACACGACACAGTGACCTAACAACGGAACATGGAGATAAAAAAAAAACAACGGAACATGTAACAATTACATATCTCCATTATTTATATGAATATTTAATAGTTAATGAATGTCTGAAAACTTTTAATGGTTCGCCTAAAAGTAAAATATGGTAAAATTTTATAGACAATAGCATAGAAATATTCATATTTGTCGCCATTCTTTTTTAATACTGCTGTGTACACAATCATCTCTTGAGATTGTGTAGCCATAACCGCCATCAGAGTTTGGTTAATTAAATCGATTATTAATTTAATTAGAACATTCCACGTCAGTGAATCGGCACGCAATATTGCGAATTGAGCGCCTACCGATCGGGAACAGCTGATTGTTAGGCTGTCGATTTTCATTAAACACCCAAAGACCACGTCTCGTTGTATCGAAGAAGGAATCATTGAGAAGCGTTTCGGAATTAAAGTTGTGATCGATTATAAACAGTATATCAATACCCACATAATCCTCAGGATATCATAAGAAGAGAGACTATGAGATCAAACCTAATAAAACACTACTGTAAAAGCAGGAACACCTTAAAGTATATTCTATACTTAGTTGCCTGGTGAACATGGTAATTGAACAAACCTTGATTATTCCCTTTTGGAGGAGTTCCGTATTACAGTCTCTAGAGAAAACCTCAACAGGGATTTTATTCCGCAATTTAAGTCTTCGGGGAAGAAAACTCCTCTAAAACTGTACCATTGAGGTTATGGGATTTTAAGATGAATTCTCTTTCGACGCCGAACGGCAGGATAGTGTAATCCATCCAAATTAAGACCATGCACGGCTTATATAACAATTCTTCAGAAAATAATGTTTCTAGATCCAAGAGTTTCAACTGTAAGTTTATCGGTCAGTTCCTTAGTTTCTTCTTTTATTTAACCACTAGCTTTTACCCGCGACTTCATCTGCGTAACCGGGATATGTTTACTGATCCAAATAAAAATTAGCCTATATTCTTCTATACAAATTTTTGTAGTAACTGGTTAAGCCGTTCAGCGTTATAAAGTAACAAACAAACAAGCTCATTTTTACATTTATAATATTAATATGGATATTATCAGCGATATGTGAAGTGTAAATAGATAAATAATCGAATAGAAATATGATTTATTCTTGTTCTCAATCCACGTTCATGTTCATTCGAATGTGTGCTCGTTACTTGAAAATACTCGTGCGTGTAACTTGGACGGAGATTAAACTAGGAAGCTATTTATAAGTCTTTATAGTTGTGAATTTACATTTTCCATACTCTGCCTTTTAGGTAAATCGATGCTAAATCCTTTATAATATTAAACATATGAAAATAAGCTTGTTACTCTTGATGCCTTAATTTCTCAACAATTCGTCTTAAAATTCAATTATACTTTAGTACCAAGTATACTCAAATACTGCAATTAATTTGAGTATTTGGTATCCTTGAATAGTTACATTTCATTTTTATCCTACTTTCCCATAGCAAAAATGCCTTTTCTAAATCATAACAGAAAAATTACTAATAAATAACAATTAAGTAATAAAAAATCCGTTCAAAATAAAAGTTGGAATTGGAGTTACCGATGAGAAAACTCATCAGACAGAAGGATGATAGAAAATAAACGAAATAATAAAGACGCTTTCTTAAAAAAAATCCTCTCCCGACCTTCTGTTCAAATGTCATGCAAATGCTAATTGCTTTTACTCGTCGCTCTTCACGCCGAAGGTGAGACTTGCAACTCCTTTAAATGTCATCATCGACAAACGGTCTTATAATAGATTATTTTATTTATCAAGAACATTAAATGAAGCGCTTGGCCTTGTGGTTTATTACCCAATACACGATAATGGGCTCCTGAGATCGATACTATATAAATTAAGAAACATGTATTATAAACAAAAGTTCCAGTAAAAGTACCATGTAATGCTATAAAAACACAACGAGAGAAAGCAAAGCAGCTAAAATACATAATAATAATTACAATAATAACATACAGTAAGCAACGAAATCTTTTGGCAATTCCTGAAAAGGATTATAGAAATATAATTAAACTAGAAATCATAATGATACAGTCACAGTTTCCAACCACTTTATAGTACTGCAAAAAATAGTTAAAAATAATTTTTCGTGACACATAAAATTAAAAAGTTTCAGTACTGCGGTGAACGGTCCAGTGCTAAAATAATATTATGACACATTTACCTGGGAGTACCCATATTCTGTGCAAATATAGAATCTCATATCACGGAGAGTGAAACTAATCACTTACGGAGGTAAGCCGCGCGGCACATTACAATATTGGCGAACTGTGTGCCGCTACTCTTGCTCTGCATATAATCCGAGACGTGCACACTACTCGCCATTTCAAATGAAGTATATTATTATTTACAACTAAGCCTTGACGACAATAAATCGAAAAGACACCTTCCTTATCTTCAGTGAAATGTAAATATTCTTTCTTGTACAAATCGGATCCTTCGTTTATTTCCGTTTCGACTTTTTCGAAGTTATTTTCTGTTTCAATAAAAGTCCGCTATAAATATTCGATACTGAATTATCTGGAATATGAATCGTTAAGGTCCGATAGTTCACACAGTTTATTTTTCTCAATTGATTTGACATAAAGTGAATTGTGTTCGCTCTCATTTAGTGTAAATGTGTATCAGAATTCTCTCGAGTATTTCAGCCTTTTTATTCAATTCTCTTATGGGGAAATGTTACAGTGTGCACGACATGTTTTGCAGAAAAGTAATATGAGGTGCTCGATCACTCGCGCTCTAAACGTCACGGCTGCCATCGAACCACAGGGGAAGTGGAGAACCTATTTTTTATCTTAATCGTATTTCCGTCATTGTTTGCCCTATTATCGTCGACGAGTTGTTCACCGTAACGAACCTCTCCGCGGATTTCATGTAATTACCCACTGGACATGCTGCGCATTAATTGGATTGGCCTCTTTCGGTCAATGGCCAATCGATCGGTTAAAAGAGCCACTCCTCGTAAATTCGCGATACATTCCTATAAATTCTGAATGTGTACTAAACGTTACGGCTTTGTCGTCAAAAGCAATTTCAATTTAAACTTCAATTTGGCGAATGGATTCTTTTTCGACGGTCAGGTGAACAAGAATCGGCGGTATCCGTAGCTTTCGATTTCACGGCCAGTTTGGCCGCAGTTGGGGCTCGTCTGCAGAAGCTATAGCCTTTTACCACGAAACGTGTTATTGTCGTTATCGGAAGTGATCATCCGACGCAATTGAGTTTTAAACATAAATCATTTTTGGAAGCGATTAAATATCCGAGGCGAGACGTGAGATCTTATTATTGCTCTGTGTTGTCTTTCTATTAGCGATGCTGTTTCGGGACGCTAAGGCCTTTTCAATTTTCTATGCAAATCCTGTTACTTTTGATTATGAAGAATCACTTTAGTTAATTACAACAAACAACGGTATTGGAATTAATTTCCAACTCTTCCGTCTTTCCAAACTTGACATTTTAATTATAATCTATAACGGTTTTATTCCGCTTTTCATAAAATGATAATACTCTTACTTGATGAGTTTGATGGCTCGTGATTTTAAAATTGGAGGTATTTTTACTCACAGTAGAGTACTTTTGGGTCTTTTATCAGAAGCTGGTGTTCGATTGGACGAACGCTATGCTGTGTCGAATATAAAACCCAATTGGGCTTTGATGCTTTAAACGGAACAGACCAAAATAGCCGGCCGTTGCTGCAGCGTAGGTATATTAACTTCTTATATTTTGCGGTCCGGCCATGCTAGTTTAGACCCTATTGGTTTGGTATTTAATATGAATGTATAGTGTGTAGCAGGTGTGCAATACCAACATGGATGTAGGCTCAATGCTAATCGATCGGAGCTGTTAGCAATCACCTACCTGCGTTGTATTGAGCTGATTAATTGCTTTCAGTTTCGGCAGCTCTTTCTCTAATATTGTTTATTGTATACCTAACTGTACAATATGAGCTTAAGTGATTTGAAAAATTACGTATTACTTAATGTGAAATTGTGAAATATCTACTCAATCCAGTATCTAAAATATACGTGCATCTATCGATTATTTTTTTCTTAGAACAAAAGTTAATATTTAATTGTCGACGTTGTTTTGTATCTTGAAATTTGAAGAACAATAAGAAATTCCTTGAAATAAATCAAAATAAACGTGATTTAATAACATTATAGATATTTTATTTGTTTATTTAAAATTAGATGGTAGATGTATTCCGTGACTTTTCCTGTGCGAATATAAAGTATTTTATACTCGTATTTTTAGAGACTAAGTTTATTCAAATTCATTTTCTTGTATAATTTTAATTTTCAAAACTGAGTTACAATCATTCAAACAGAATTACAAAATATCACATTTATAATACTAATAATAAGAACGGGATAAAAAAAGCCTGTATTGTTACATACATACTTTTTTAATATAAGAAAGTTATTTACGATTTTCTTCCAAATTCACGTTGTTAAATAATAAAAGTTCAGTTTACAAATATAAAGGGGGAGTTTATACTCTGAGCAAATGAATTGATTAAATACGAAACGTGATATAAAGAGAGAACTGGGAATAGGAATTTGAATAATATTTTTATGAATACACGTGTGCTCGCTTAGGGAGCAATTATTACTTCAAAGCTAAACCGAGTTACATGATTTGTGTATAGTAAGACAGCTGTTGGGAAATACATAAATATACTCAGGTCCATCTATTTAGAAAGGGGTAACCAGATTAAAGTAATGAATAATATATTATAATAATGATAGTGTGAAAATCAGATTCGGCGTAATCATAGATATTGTTGGAATTAAAAATGGAATGAAGCATAAAGAGAAACTGCATCCCGACAGATCAGTACAAATGTTAGTGGATAAAGTATTAATTTAAGATTTTTCCAAGACCACTCCAATCTTGTAAATAATATGAAATCAAGTTGGAAGTGAGGTCTTTTGATTAAAAAAAAATAATATCAATATTGACATCATAGAGAATTCAATATCTCGTAACAAAGCGAAAACAGATGAAAATATAGTTGAACTTGGAACCTATTCCTATTTTAAATTGTTAAGAAACAATATTTTGCACTCTGTGAGATCATTACATGATTTAACATTAAAACTCGTGTTTTGTTAACAGTACCTCCTGAGAAGCCAGTAGTGGTGGACCGGTATGGACGCGTCATCAACACCACGACCCTGGGCCCACACGAAGAAGGGGAAGACGTGCTGCTCACATGCCGGGTACTTGGAGGTAACTTTATTCCATAGTGTTTATTATTTAGGTATTTGTGTATTTATTAAATTTGGCATATATGGTTTTATCGGTCATTCTCTTGCCTCTCGTAAATCAACAAATGCACGTGTGAGGGTTAAAATCATGCTCACTGCATACTTTATTTAAACGGATTTATTTATATACTTCTTCAAATCTTAATTTGTCTTTGTGATTCTAATGTTATTTCTGAAAGTTGTTTTTTACCGAGAAGCAACTACAAGCTAACTTACTCTGCTCTAGAAGCCTAACAGTGTTTTTTTTTATATTATTATTATTAACTCTACTGCTGAACATAAACCTTCCCCTATAAAAGAAATTTTGCCAGTAATCGCCACGTTTAGTAAACAAGTTAGCAACTGCAGTTAGGCTTTTGGTGTTATAGTTTTGGAATTACAACTAACAGTAATTTAAGTTAATATAAATAGATTGAAGATAAAAATCTTAGTAATTTTAAAATTGCAAATTTTAAAATCACATAAGAGTACCATATATTTGTTATATTTAATACTCAAGATCCACCTGTCACTTTTCAGTTTTTTATATTAGATTATTATTATTACTCATTGTTTCCATGAGTTATTTCTACTATGCAAAACATATTAACCATTCCTATAGTTACTTCAATATACGATACTTACAATTCAGTGTAATTTATTCGATAACCTTATGGCTTTTTCTTTTTTTCCTGTTGAGTTTAGGACCGAGTCCTTAAATATATATTAAGTGCTCGTTTGTCACAACACTTAAGTAGCACTCCTTTTAAAGCATTAACAAGCGACGCTTATCGACATTCGATATATTTGCCCATTCGATCCTCCACGCCGCACGTTGTTTGTAATTCGCGATCGTTTTGTGTGCTTAAAGCCAGGGATTATATAGAAATGGAAGGACAAATTTTCATAGATGATGTATTGAACGTAATTATCGGGTCATGAGTATGTCCGACTCATCATGTTAAAGAACTTGATGCGTGCGTGAAAAACTTGCTTTAAGAATTTCGTCGACGAAGGACTAAATTCATGGTGCTTTTATTATAAATTCACCATGGATTTTGTAAGTTTTGTCTGCGATTCTGTGTTTTATGTATTGTTAACTTCCCATATCTGACAATGACATCACGCAATATAGTAAATAGATGTCCCAAAAATAAAATAAACAATAATACTGTTTCTAGCCTAAAATTCTTTCCTACAAGTATACTACTTAACTATATAATAAACATGTATAATTAATTAAGAGAAGTAATAAACATGACTCGAGAAGGGGGATGTTAAAAAAAATTCGAACACAATTGAGAAAAATAAAAAAAGAATAAATATTGATTTGAAAGTTTGCAATATACTCGTATATTTCCAATTAAAACGTTATATTTATAAGAAATAACATAAATAGATAGTACACATGCACTATAAAAGAGTGGTAAAACATATGCGACTCTTCTATTTGACCTTATTTCTGTGCCCGATATAGCTTGTAGCGAAGCTAAGTGACGGCATTGCGCCCTTCAGTATGTTTGCCCGCGACACCCGACCACTCCGACACTGGAACGCTTTTATCGCCCGCGAATATCTACATTTTCTTAACTTACGAAAAATCACACAATATGTTCATAACGTACGAACAGTAAACCTTCACTCGAGCACTCATCGCTCTGTTAATATTTGGTCAAAGTTGAATGCTCAGAAATAACTGAACAGTTAAAATTGAAAAGTATTTTATTTATAACAACGTATGAACACAAATTTTTTGAAGCGTGTTCTCTCAAAAACATGGTTTCGGTGTAGGAATTATCTTTATTTTTATTGGTCTCGACTTTTTCCTTTTTTTACAACATTACATTTTGTCCTGTATTGGACAATTTGTTCAAATTATTAATTAATTCTGTCTTTTCATTTCTATAGTTTGCCTTTATATCTTATCTTTTCCTATTTTTAAAACATTTTTAACACTATGAATGATTGTTATATTGAAATTACCTATCTAGTTTACAAATATTAACATTGACATTAACATTTATAAAAAATCTGCATTTTATTGATTCTTCTTCTTCATCTGTTTTTCTTTTTATAGCAATATCAAAAAAAAAATTAAAATCAACAATATGTTTGATTATTCATTGCGTGACAATTGGCTCAACACAAATAATATTGATCAATAGTACCAATTGACACCTATCGGTACAATTAATCTCACCAATGATTAAAGGAAATTCATTATGCGATTAAACGCTTGAACAATAGACAATCAGTTCACAATATAAAGTGGTTAAATTGATATATTATTATATTATACTTATATACATATAATATACAAACGTAGTTGTATTTAGCAACAAAATAAATGACTATAGATTTTGCAGAGTTTAAACATAAATTATCAATAGTATTGCTACTGTAGAAGCTTGCATGTTAGCCGTTAAATACGTAATTTCAAAGGCTTCGATAACTAGATATACTTTTTTATTATTAGGGAAGCAAACGAGCAGACGAACAACCTGATGGAAAGCGATTTTTATTATTATTATACTATTATTTATTTATTTTATACAACTTAGAATGGCACACAAGCTAACAGCCCACCTGATAGAAAATGGTAACCATAACTGCAACTATCCAGATGTGGTATATAATTATGGTATGTATTAAACAAGCAGTAGTCCAACGTCTTTGATACGAGTATGTCCTTAATGATTTACATAACAATTCAAAATATACATATTACTCTGTTTAAAAAATTGTGATGGGCAACTAATAGAAAGAAATTAATTCGACTGAAGCTACAGTAACATAATTTTCAACGCTCCTTTTAAAAATGGCTTTAAAAGTAAATGTAATCAAACTCAATATAATTTCTATTTAAAATTAGTGCTAACACAGACAAATAAACTAAATTTATGCAAATTTATATAGTGTTGAACTCCCAGTGATCGATGGTATAGATATTATGTAATATTGTGGATCAAACTTTGAAACTTTTTAAATTTCTTTGAACCACTATGAACAAAAACTAGTTGCAGTTTTATTAATTTTAATATTCAATTTTGTTTTAAACATCTAAGAATATAAAAATTTTTGTGATAAAATTACCACAAAAATAACTCAAGATTTCTGATCTACATTCAGGTATAACAAAATCGAAGAAAATACAAATGTGTAGATTGATATTTTTATCAAACACTGCTTGTTGTAGGAATGTTTTATGCAATTTGAATTGGGAAATGAACTGTCAAAAAATAGTGACCGTCACTTATAGATAGAACATGTATATGATATTATGGAATGTTCTCGTACATATTATTTACATTATAGAGAGAGCACACTATTATTATGTGGTCATAATTTTTAACCAAATTTCCGCGAGTTAAATTACACAACCAACTTTAATATTTTAAAAGCAATAAAAATAATAGTATTGAGCAAAATAAAATTGTTCTAAAAGTTTCCCACATGTTCCCCAGATTCATTTTTAAGATCCTTGAAAACAGTCACATTACTCATATTGGCCGGAGCTCCGGAATCATTTACTAAAGCTTTCGATTTCATTGTATCTACACTTTCCTCTGCTCCTTGTTCCCATCCATCGCCTCGTTGTCTAAATGAGACATTATAGGAAACTAATTTTGAGAATGTATCATTATGTGAATCTATACCCTCGGGTGTAGCGTGTATTCGCGCCATAAGTATAAGAATATATATTTTTTCTCGCACGTAGAGCACGCCCGCCCGGCGCCCTGCTCCTTGCCCCGCGCCCTACTCCGCGCTCGGGCCCTGCAGACATAGAAACGCTTTTATCCCAACAAAATACAATCCACCTCGCGTCGACACCTGCGCGTCTACTCAATCGCTATTATGTATAATGGGCCTTGTTATTACATGCACCCTGAAACAAATGAGTTCCCACCACCTTGTAATAATCTATCATACACAGTACAAAATCTAGCAATATAAATTATTTGTTGTTTCTCTCGATTTTACCTGTGTCAATGTATGTGATCATATGTAAAGCACAATGGGATTAAAAATTTAAAAATTCACGCAATTCCTACGGAATCAAGATGCTATGGGCTTTGCGCGAGCAAAAATGTAATAAATAACTAGTTTTGTACGTATCTTAACGTATGAAACTCCATCCAATACTGTTCATCCATATAAAGGTGACCGAAGTCCATATATCTCTGTGTTATATCTAAAAAAAATACAAGTACACACTTGTAAATTTTTTAAGGAATGTATATACTTATACCCATAATACGTGACCAAAGTCAATAATTAAACTGAACAAATTAATAGATACAGAAAAATATTAGTATGTCAGACATCACTGGAAATAATAGCCCTTGGCTCGTTCAAATTAAACTTTTTACATGCAAAAAGCACATCGAAAAATCAGCGAGTTAAAATTACACGACTCCAATCAAAATGGATTTTATCAGATTATAGTATACCCCTCAAATGAAATTTGAATTGGCGGAGGCCACCGAATTTGCATAATCGAGAAATTGATTGAAGCGTATTTCCCGAAAAACGGGCGGGAGCCGAAAAAAATTCAATTCCTGCGAACGCAGATGCCTTTCTAATGACGACGGCTTACATCAAGACTTTGTTCCGAGTCGCCGGAAGTCTGCTGAATCCGAAGCCTGTTGCTCGCTTCCCGCTTCCCTCGAACGACACGTGACCGCTCCTTTATTTCAAGGCTTACTGTGAAGTAAGCGACGAAAATCAATGCTTCCAATATTTAGCTTGAACATTTCTCTACTTACTTTATATGTTGCTTAATTTATTCCTCTTAACGTTATAAATTGTTTTTGGATACTTATTGAATTTAAATAATATGGCATCTTTTTATTATGCTACTGCTTTTATTTTAATAAGAATATACGTTATTGGAAAAGTTCCTGCTCATAAATAAATATACTTAGATGAAGGACTATAGAGAGTCCTTCATCTAAGCAGCGTACTTCTTGCTATATCGGAAATATTCAATAAGAAACTTATTCTATTTTCTGCCCCTCTGAGTTGCTTATAATATTTTATATTGAAATGTATAAATTCCCTTCAACTCATGGCTGGATAAGAAATAATCACAACTCGCCGCCTTAAATCAAATTTTGCAACGTCATGTTTATTTCCCAAATACCGAAATCCAATACAAAGAAACACCCGTGTTGTTTACCAAAGCAAAACAATAAACCGCAGAGAAGATACATTTAGACTTTTGATTTAGAAGACGATTCCCGTACGGCAACGAATGATAAATTAATTCCGTGGTAGTACCTCCCAATATTGGCCGAGATTCTGATAATTGCGAGAAGGTGAAATCGGAACTTCATTCCAGTACTACAATCTCTCTCTCTAAATTGATTGAATCCCATTACTAACTTTGAGATATTGCAGTCTGGCGGAATGCCTGTTTATATCAACAGAAATCCATTGACTTCTGGAATTAGATTGTACAAACGCAGTACTTCAGACCTAAACTAATTCAATTTGGCCGAAGTGGACGAGAAGATAGTTCAGTGGACGGGCCGAACAAAAGCGCACATAGCGGTGGACAAATAAACAAGCAAACAAAGGACAAAGGGCAGTCTGATCTAAGAGAATGCCTTGAGCGAAATTTATTTACGTGCAGAGTACGGAAACGGCTCATTGGGGCCGCTCGGTGCTCGCCCGCCACCGTCGTTCAGCCACTATCCATGCCTGCTGTTTACTTTTATATTTTCTGGAAATGAAACATTCATGCATGTGTCTACCAGGGAGTAGGTCTTACTAGAAGTTTAAAGGTTACCTACGTTTAAACTTTAAGTTACCTTTAAATTTGTCTCTGCTAAAGGGGATACAGTCTGTAAAATTATTGCTTAAAAATCAAAAATAATAAATAACATATAGTTTAATGTCATTATTGCCTTGCTTATTTAATAATAATTTCTGATACCTAACAGCGCAATAATAAACCTAATAAAGTTTTTAGTAATTATTCTATTTATAATAGCTATGTCTGTTAATACTAGAAGTTTCTAATTGAATTCTCCGAAAAATCATAGGAATATCTACACTGTTTTTGATTACGATAATGCCTTTATTAAATTATAAAAAATATTTTATTTTTTATTATATATATATATATATATATATATATATATATATTTTATTATTACATTCTATTTTATATGTCTAGTAAATATTATATATGTAGTTACTTGTGTCTTCACTTATGAATTGCCAATGAATTTCGCTAGAATATTACTTGCATTGGACTCAGCTCGAGTTGTAACTAATATTCATATAATTGCTTTTGTTATGATCATAACAATCCATGAATATATAATAATAATTTGTTGCAGTGCTGGTCAAATAGCTAAAAAATTTTAAAGTTCTTAAGATATGTGATTTGTTCACCTCGTCACTTCTATGATATTAACCTTTATATATAATAAATATAATTAATAATCGTGTATGACAAGATTGATGAATGTGGAAGAAGCGAAAGAGGTTTGTTTGAATCGAAGCATTTGACGTTCCATTGTTTCTGCCTACCCTAATGGGAGACAGGCGTGACAGATATGTATGTATGTATATAATTTATCAAGTTTTGGATGTAAATACAGGGTACGCATATTTCTTCTGAATAAGAAGGAATATGAGGAAACGGAACAAGTATTGTTTGATGCAGCTTAATGTATATGCTATATTGTCAATACATTCAATACTCTAATCAATATTATTTTCTCCATAATACTAAAGGGGGGTAGGACTGTGGCCCTTTAATACAGGTTAATTAATATTAGTTAAGAAACTACAGTTATGTTTTTTACTAAGAAATCTCATTTCATTTCAACTTGTAGATAAAAAGAACCTGTAACACATTGTAATTCTAGGATCTTCTATTTAAGATCTTTAATATTTTTTGTTTTATTTCCATCAAATAGATCGATTACTTCATATATTGCTTCATATTTATTTTTTCGTAGGTCGCCCAGAGCCGTCAGTTCGCTGGCTGGTTAACGGGGTGCTGGTGGACGAGGAATACGAGCACAACACCGGCGATGTGATTGAAAACCGGTTACTCTGGCCGGCGATACGACGCGCCGACTACGCGGCCGTTTTTACATGCCAAGCGACTAACTCCCGCCTCGTGCCGCCGAGGGAACTATCGCTTGTACTGGATATGTTCTGTGAGTATCTTTATTTATTATAGTCTGTTTCAGTAGTATAATATTTAATGAAAATATAGACAAACATATCATTGACTACAATCAGAGACCAGAGGGAGACTTTGTACAAAAGTAATTTGCTTGGGTACCTCTGTCTCATTCGTGTTTGAACCTTGAAGCAGTTGTGTTTGCATGGCTGTGTTTTAGTTTGAAGGGTAGATCGATGTATAGTGGATAGGATAACACCTGAGTCTTCAGGAATGGCAACGCATGGGGAGTATCATGGGCGAAACAGTATACTCTGTTATGTCCATGGTACTGCTCATGTTTATAGGCGACGGTTACCAAGTACTAAGTTGTAAGAAAAGGAAAGTCTGCTGTAGTCCAACAGTAGTAGAAGTCTAAAATCGATGAATCGATCGAACTTTTCGACTTATTCATAATTTCAAAGTTAATAATTTATAATATATTTCTTACTACTTATTTATTATTAAAACTTAGTTACTATTTTATTATGTGCTATCGAAACAGATCAATATTTATCGTATTATTAGCTTTAACCAGCGACTTCGTGTGTGTTCGGAATATGTTTACTAATTGAGATAAAATTAGCTTATACGAGTATCCTTCTCTATACCATATAGTATGTATTTACTAATTTTCGTAGTACCTAATTGATTAAGCCGTGAAACAAATATACTCATTTCACATTTATAATATTACTAAATCTAATTTACTTCTACTACTCATGTAAGGGTGATATCCTCTGATATTAAGAGTTTTTAGATAGCTTTCGTTTTCCACAAAGGCGTTGAAATGACTTATTACTATAGCCGTCACTAACGTTTAACAAAGAATCAGCATTTTATAGTATTTATGTAATTGTTCCATTCAGCGTCAGGGGTGTTCTTCTCTAGAAATCTGTCCGATTCTAGAATAAGGGCATACGGGTATGCGACCCCGGCCTCCCGAGCCGCTGCAGTGTCCCAGTCCTTTCCGCAATTGCAGTGTCCCCGCTTTCCTTTCCCACATAAATCCCTTATTCTTCTCATTTACCAATTTCCATTACACATTTCCAACGTTCCCTTCTTTTTTTCCTCAATCCTTTCCTCCATATCGCAGGCCTATCTGATGGAAAGTGGTAACCGTCGCCTATAGACATGAGCAGTACCATGGACATAACAGAGTATACTGTTTCGCCCATGATACCCCCATGCGTTGCCATTCCTGAGAACTCAGATGTTATTCCTCTGTACCCTATAAAGTCACGCCATATCCCATTTTATAGAATGTATGTTATTTAGTGTGTTTTATTTAGTGTGTTATAACATTATAACGTGTACATGTTAAAAATTCAACGAAATTGAAAATCTTCCCTTTGGAACAAACAGCTAAATGTACTACGTTATTTATAATACGCCTGCTTTCAAATTACGGATGTCACAGTATGCATACTACCTATCACATGACAGACAGTGTGCCGTGCAACGCAGATAACTAGTTGAACAAGCATCCACCAACTACTGCTGTAGTTATTAAACAGTTTGAATAGTCACGCCAGATGTAGCTGCTGTACTAGCAAATGTTATTAGCCATATCAGCACCGAGGGAGCGCTATGTGACACCCGATTAGAGATAATTTGCAAAGTGCACGTTCGTAAACACACTATTCAGTAATATCTTATTGTAATACAAGGAGAGTTATTTTAACTAAGAATTATTATAGAATTTATATTTGTTTGATATATTATGTAATAGATAAACTCATTTTTTTATATTACTGAGGTGGTGTTAATGACAATTTTGTAATTACGTGCTCGGCCTGTTCGAGCAGGCGTTACTTTTGTTTATTATTATTCTACCGTCCACTGTTGTGTTTCTAGTACTGTGCCATCTTGTTTTCACTTGGACAGTTGTAACGTCAGCTAGAACATTGCTGTTAATATTTATATTAAATTAAACGCACTTAACAAGTATTATCAGAGTTTATTCTAAAATACTCCATGTGGGCCGGATTTTAAAGATGTATTTATTTATTTTTCATCACAAACAATTAACTTTTACTTTCTATTACAATTATTTCAGAAAGTAACGTTATCAATGATTAACATAGGCTATCATCGTCATCATCATATCGGCTTTTGTTAACCTTTAACTGTTTTTTTAACCTTTAACTGATGTTACTAGTAGTTATCACGCTTGGCAGGCGTGTGGCAACCGCAGCTTATCTTTTGACGATGTTTTAAGAGGGACGCTACCGCCCGTCCGTCTAACATCCTGGAGGGGGAGGGATTGTTAGCAATGGAGATTGAGAACCCCATTGCTAGCAATATGCCCTATTAGGTCGACCTCCACATAATTCCCCCTGGAAACCATCGTGGACAATTCTTGTTGAATTCGTCACCATGGGCTAACTGACCTGCTTCATCCTCACCTATTATCCTTCACTGGTGCCCCGTCGGTGTATACCAATAGTGCGGGTGGGGTTACCATTCCATTATCACCCATTAAAAAAATATAATATAACCTCCCTTAGTCGCCTCTTACGACAGCTACGGGAAACGAAAGTGTGGCCTATTCTATACTGGGACCTACACACTACACGCACAACTTCGCCCTATGCTGTTTTAATTAACATATGGCGTGTGAAAATGCGAATAAATCAATACAATAATGAATTACCTACAATAAATATTAATTTTTGCATACTATAAAGACAAATTATTAGAACTATTGAGGACAGAAGAGGAAAAATGTTGAGATACTTGATACGACACAACGAACTTATGAACATTATAATAGAAGGTAAGATAGAAGGAAGGAGGGGGAGAGGGAGACCGAGACATAGTTACATCAGGCAGATCAAGGAAGGAGTTGGTGTCGTGTCGTATCAAGAGGTGAAAAGACTCGCTGAAAATCGTAATGAATGCCAAGAGCTCCACCGACAAGAGCACCAGCAGCTCTTAAATAGGATAGATAGATAGATAATACGCAAGCTAGTAAAAAATTGCTAGAGTTCAACAAACACAGTTCGCTTAATCTTAATTAAGGTTCAAATTAAATCAGAATTAATATAATAGCGTTTCACAAAGTAGAATACTTCATCTAAACGGAGTTCCAACATTTTTCTAACTCGGCACCTCGCGGGCTCACCGGTTATTAAAATTCATTTGGCCACATTAATTACATTGCATTAGTGTCGACACTAAATAATATATCGCTGCAGACAATATCCATTACAATTTTCCCTCGTTTTGGGACTTTTAGGATATTTCAGGTTATCTAAAAACTTTGTTACTAAAACAAAGATGCTACGTTTTACCAAATCAAAGGTTTACGTGTAAAATTACAATGAACGTTTATTATATATTTTAATTAAATAGAAAACAAAAAGAAACTTGAGTTATTCTCTGAGATTATTATTTTCTTATTCTAATAAAAATAAATCTTATATATTGCGACTACTTAAAATATTTTTTATAACTACTATTTTTTAAATATTACTTAAAATTCTGTCAATTTTATTTATTTTATAATTAGCTTCATTGACTACTTATAATGCATGAGCCAAAGTGTGCACTTGGTACCTGTAGTGATTTTTATGTATTGTGTATTGTATAATGTAGTAATTAAAAATTAACCTATACCTATGTAAATTCAGTGGTTAATATTTGCATGCCATTTGATGGAATAGAATGAAAATCTTGTAAACGTGACGAATGCAATGTCTTATCTACAATGTTTCTGGCAATTTTTTTATACAACTTAGAATGGCAAACAAGCTAACGGCCCACCTGGTGGAAAGTGGTAACCGTCGCCTGTAGACATGTGCAGTGTCATGGACATAACAGAGTAAACTGTTTCGCCCATGAAAACCCCCATGCTTTGCCATTCCTGAAGACTCAGGTGTTATTTCTCTGTAATAATCTCTAATAAATTTCATTTCATTTCAAATAGACTAAACAATTGTATTTTTTTACGCAAATTAGAATCTTGTTAAGAGATTTCAATAAAGGGAATATTTTAATTCGCCTATATTTTTAAATAACTATGATGACTTTGCCAATTTTAAATCGACGTCAATAACTCTTCTTGCAATCTATAAGATTAATCCCCTGTTGCTCCCATATTTATTTGGTGACGATTGAGGTCACCATATTTTTTTTTTATACGACTTAGAATGGCAAACAAGCTGACGGCCCACCTGATGTAAAGTGGTAACCATCGCCTATAGATATGAGCAGTATCATGGACACAACAGTACACACACATACTGTTTCGTCCGTGATATTCCCATGCGTTGCCATTCCTGAGGACTCAGGTGTCCTCTTCTACTGTACCCTGTACTACTGTATTCCTCTGTACCCAGTAAATTCACGCCATATCCTATCCTTCAAACCAAAACACAGCCATGCAAACACAACTGCTTCACGGTAGAAACACAAAGTCTCCCTCTGGTATCTGGCATTTCTTTGCGGAACATAATGTTGCTTATTGTGAAGCGACATATGCTTGATCTTGCTCTTAACTGACTTACAAAAAAGGTTTCAATTTGTTTACATTTTTTTTAGGTTTGTTACTTAATAACTCCATTATTTATAAACAGATTTGGATTTTTTTTTTCTGAAAGGAAATAATTTCAGGTTGGTCCCTTAGAAATTTAAACAAAATCGGTTCAGTGGTTGAGTTTTTAAAATAATTAGTTTTTTCACGATTAAAGTCGATTTTTTCTTGTGCAACAACATTTTATATTATTTTTTTCATTTGGTTAGACTTACGCTGTTGTTGATTTCATATTAATCTTAAATTTTGTAATATTTTGTTGAACTCGATACTTATCTACAAAGATATTTTTTAATGCATAATAATAATAATGCAACCCCGTCTGCACTCTCGGTATACACAGGCGGGGCACCAGTGAGAGATGATATGTGAGGATGAAGCAAGTCAGTTAGCCCGTCGTGACGAATTCAATTAGAATTATTCACGATGGTTTCCATGGGGAACCACGTGGAGATCGACCTGATATTGATAGTACTAGCAATGGGGCTGTTAAACTCTACTACTAATAATCCCTTTTACACTCTCTACAAAGATACTTACTTGTCGACTATTTGACCATATTTGTCGTTTAAAGATAAATTACTTAGTAAATTATTTTCCTTTCACAGTGAGGCCTCTCACAGTAGAGATCAAAAAACCGTCTGAGATGGGCGAGGGCGGCGTGCTAACAGCTGAGCGGCGGTACGAGGTAGCGTGCCAGTCGGCTGGCAGCCGTCCGCCAGCCGTCATTACGTGGCACAAGGGAAAGAGGCAACTGAAAAGAATAACGGTGAGTAATATAGAGATTAATAATTCTAATAATAATATAAATTCTAAAGGTAAAAGCATTCTAAAAGTAATAGGCGAGAAATATAATATAACTCGCCTATAATTGGGCATTTCATTCAGATACTGATCTAGTCGGCTGGCTCACATCTGAGTGAACTGCTTTAATTAAATTAATTTGCTTTTCTTTTTTACTAACATAGTTTGTAAGGAAATTGTTACTAACAAAATGGACCAAATTGTAATCTGAATAATAAAGTAGTATTATATATATATATATATATATATATATATATATATATATATATATATATATATATATATATATATATATATATATAATATAAAAATAATTCTTGTAAGAAGCAATTTATAGTGGTACCCCGCACTTTGGTTATATTTTGTTAAGAGAGGGACTGGCTGAAAAACAGCGCTGTGCAGCTGTTTACACTGCACTGGGACACTTACAGCATCAGCTGAGCCGGTTCCTTTTGCCTAGTATGGGCCACTTTTTGTTTATGTTATTTATATTTTATATTGTAATTGTATGTTTACTGGCAATAAATGTTTTCTATTCTATTCTATTCTAATAATAATAAAATATTTAGTTTTTTATACAAAGATTTGGTATCTCCTGTTAATCAAACATTGGGATATGGCAGTGAATTTACAGGGTACAAAGGAATAACACTTGAATCCTCAGAAATGGCAACGCATGGGGAGTATCATGAGCGAAACAGTATACTCTGTTATGTCCATGGTACTGCTCATGTCTATAGGCGACGATTACCACTTTCCATCAGATTGGCCGTCAGCTTGTTTGCCATGCCAAGTTGCATAGAAAAAAGATTGCTTGTATAAGGAGAAACAAGCTCTTTCAAAAAGAGGTTGTAGTATTTGTACATGAGGGTTTATTATGAGTGTTTAAAATCTATCAATTTTACATATTAAATTGAGCTACCTTAAAAATTTATACTAAAGATATAAAAAAAAAACAATCTTAGTCACGTGGCAAACTTTTTAAATTTTTTAAAAAATAATAATAAGTTGTAATAAATAATTTAATATTATAATCGAATCGGTAATATATTATATGTCAGTCATTTCGTGCAAGATGCACAAATTTTAAACATGCATTAGTTGTACTTTTTGTACAAAAGTGATAGTTCTATATTATATACCTGGATAATTAGTAATATAAGAAGTGAGTAAAGTTATAAAATTCCTAGAAACACTGTTTAGTCTATTTATAAGTTATAATAGACCTGAAGGATCTTTTTTATTATTACTATAAATGTAAGATACTGGCCCATACTTCATACACACACTCTTTCCAAATTTATAATGATTGATCATTAAAATTTGACTTCAGGAAAGTGCAAGATATAATGCAAATCTGTTCATGGTAATGCTTGAAAAGCAATCGGTTTTAATTTATATCTTATATATAAAATTTTCGTGTCACGGTGTTTGTTACCAAACTCCTCCGAAACGGCTTTACCGATTTTTATAAAATTTTGTGTGCATATCGATTAGCTCTGAAAATCGGCTAACATCGTAAATTTTTCGTAACCCTCAATGATAAGGGTGACCCAACCCAAATTTGTTTATTTTTTTTGTAAAAAAATTTTATTATTTTTTTTTTATTATGATTTAACATAGAAAAATACATACAGATTCAATCGCTTTTACGATCTACTCCTGTTTTTTAATCGCGATTTTTATATGCCGCAATAGGGTTGCAAGATGGCAATCGAATATAATAATTGTAGTAGGATAAATTTTCATGTATAGTTCTAGAAATAATGTATATGGTAAAACAACGTTTGCCGAGTCAGCTAGTTATACTATATAAATTTATTAATATTTAATTTAAAAAAAAAAGCATAAGACAAGAAATGTTTGTTACCAGTCATCTAAAAACCGCCACGCACATGTACCTCTTTGTTTTTTTATTAGAAGCAATTCTGTTAAAGACAGGTATACGTTGACGTCGATAGACGTGGAGCTATTAGACGACGGCCATGCATGTCCGATTCAAATTATGGTAGGAGGCTGTGAATGAATGATAAGCGCCCGCCTGGAATATATTCCAGGCAGCGTGTTAATTATAGACAGGTATCGAGTTCCATCAAAGGGAACGCATTAAATTGATACATTGTTCGGGTTCTGTGATGACGTATCTATCGAAGACACCATAATCGGTATTTATCGAAAAAAAAAATACCGGAATTTTAGCTAGAGATATATAGAATTGTAGATTAATAATAGCTCTTACTAGAAATAATATTTTTTTGAAGTTCGTAACGTTCTTCATTATAATTTCAACCCATATATGATCCGTATAATGTAGCTAATGTAAGGTCGGAATAAAAGGCTACCGTATTTCCAATTGATTATCGGTTCCCGGAACTACATAGGTACGTCATTATGTTGTTCGAAGAATCAAAAATAATATATTTCCTTCATATAATACGAAGAATGACAAAGAAAACGAACTATACAAAGAGTCGTGTGTGAGTTTTCGCAGTAAGACTAACTACTCGCAGTTCAAACGATTTTATTTTATTTCTCATTCCCATATCATCATCATCATTTCAGCCTTGACTGTCCACTGTTGGACATAAGCCTCCCCCTTGGGGGGTTTTGCCAGTAGTCGCCATACTTGACAGGCGGATTGGCAACAGCTTTGAAGGTGTTCTAAGAGGGACGCTGCTGCCCATCTCTCGCCCTCTTACGACACCCTCGGGAAAGGAATATAATTTGAATATAGTAATAATTAATTTTTCAAACATTATTACATTTTATGTTCAGCTTTTATTTTTTATATTTTCCCAGGAATAGCCAATTCCTGGGAAAATATAAAAAATAAAAGAGGTATCATACTCGAGATCATTCACTAATAACGAATCCCAAACTTTTCACTATCGGGACGATACAGAAAATCCAATACATTAGCTTCCTTATAAGGAAATATTTTACTCGAGCGTAAGTAGACCTTTTTGCACAAAAAATATGATGAGTTGAAAAGCAAAAAAAGCTTCCCATACTAATTTGACAGCTGAATATTATTATAGAATTATAAGATGTATTTCGAACCGTTCCTATACAAAATTATACAATTTCACTTTTTAAATATTTCTTTAAAAAATTAATGATTTGATTTCATCGTGCTATGCATATTTAATAATTACAGATACCTTTTACCAAGTCAAAATATTCGCAACAACAGACGACGGGACGATCGTAATTCTAATAAAACAATGATTAAAAACAATGTACATACACATGTCTCGCAGTAAATTAATGATGCCTTAACACATTCGATATTCCTGTGATCACTAACAACCATTCCGCGTACAGTTTCACTGTAATAGGACGGATAGGTTATCATTCATTGTAATTAAAACGGCACAGGATTAATGCCCGGTATAAATGTGCCGTGAGTCGTAATTAACGCGCACTGATCCATGCAGATCGAACGTTCTCATCGGCCCTATACACTTATAGTGTTACAACATTAATTAGTATTTAACCTTCATATATAGACACTCGCACATACATACACACACATAACACACACGCACACACACACACACACGCACGCACGCAAACACGCACGCATGCACGCACGCACGCTCGCACCCACGCACGCACGCACGCACATGCACGCACGCACGTTCGCACCCACGAACGCACGCACGCACGCACGCTCACAAACACACACGCACAAACACCTACGCATTTTCAAACTCACATTAAATGTCACATATTTAAATTAACCCTGTTCGCCGCACTATAACTGTTAAATTACTTGCTTTGATTTGCCTAGTGTGGAGTTATAGCTATATTATACTTCGCGCTTCGTCCTCGAGATTATTATTTGTAGAATATAAACAACATGTAGTAACGTACAAGTGACACCGCCCCTGCACTATTGTTGAGAGAGGGATTCCCCCTTTTTCCTTTTTCTTTTTATTCCCCGGTAGGTACATAGTCTACTTAGCCCGTTCATTTCATTTCCTGTTCATTCGCAATTTAGTGCTTCACCGCTCCGCACATAATACATCGCGTTGTCGTGTTAAAAAAAAAAAAAAAAAAAAAAAAAGATGCCAAAAAGGAATAGTAGTGATCTCAACGACCCAACATTCAACATTACATAGTGTCGTTGTAGACCAGGTATTTATTTTCAAAACTATATCTATACACAAAAGTAATTTTTGTCTCCAGAAGAATGCAATCGAGATAGTCATATGGGCTATATCACCGCATTCAAACGAAATGGTTGACGTGCAATTCAGCGGGAATTGTACACAACAGCCGTGTTTCGATATATATCGCATTTTCAAATAACACCCATAAAAGGATATAATAAATATAAATATATTTCATTTTTAATAAAATATTTTTAAATAAATTATTGGCAATATATATATAAAAGAGAAGTCGTTACTTTTGATTTCAGTTATAGAGAATATTTGATTATAGGGGTGTATTATTTGATTATTATGTATTATTTGATTATATGTGTGTGGGTATTGTATAAACAATAATGCTTATTGGAGACAAAAAATATTAGGTTTTAACGTATCCACGTTAACAATGTTAGTATGTACCCAGAGCCGTTATCAGGACGAACTCGACACATACTATACTTTTTTATACAATTGCATAAATTTATGCATATACACATCATATATTTATATATTATATGATGCATATGTCAGAGACGCCTCAATTAATAGCGGAATCAGTAGACTGGTTAATAGATCCTCCTGAGGAAGAGATACTAGAACCAGAGACTGTAAACCTTCCATCAGACGATGTAGATGTGATTCACGATGCGTTAACGTATCCAGACGGTAGGGAGTCTGTAGTAAAAAATAATCCGATGACGGATCAAGACGCTGGTCAAAACTGTCCAGGCCCGTCAAATGTGGAGCCTCAGTAGCTAGATACTGAGACTTTAGAAATTCTTGGAGTCGATCCAACGTGTACTAATAA